AGAGTAGAGGATGCTTTTGCATGAGATCCTCAAACAGCTGTTTGAAGCGGTACCACTTCTCGTACGCTCCGTCGAAAACCGGTAGGGGCACGTTTGGCAATCCGGGTACATGGTTCACAACGTTTGGTTGCTGATAAGGTTGGACGATTTCTGCTACTGCCTGCTTAGTGGGATCGTTCTGCTTCCGTAGGCCTTCGATTGCCTGGCAAAGTTCAACTCGTAGCTCCTCGTAGCCGATTTCAAATTCGATGAAATACTCCTCTTGCTGCAATCGTTGGTCGGGAAACTCCGAGTACACCTCGTTCTGGATGGTGTTATATTCGTCATAGCACGAATCCACACGTCGCAAATACGTTTCCAAATGGTAAACACTGTTGTTCGCAGCCTGGCCCAACATATCCTTTACACGCTGGAGCTTCGCAACCACGGCGTCCCGTCTAGCCATCAGAGCTTGTATCTTCATTTCCGCCACCGATTGCTGCCGACGTTGCTCTTGTTTCTTCTTCTGCTCGTCCACCGGGGAATGTAGAACACCTCCTCTACCTCTTCCCACCGGTGTATACAAAAATTCATTTTCTTCGGTCATCTCAGCTCACTTTGTTTACACTTTTTCTTCTCACTTCGACCGCGCTTCGAGCGGTGCAAGCTTCTCACTTCTCACTCTGTTCGACCGGCTTCCAGTCCGACCGGTGCCTTTCTCTCACTAATGTTCGACCAGTCCCACGGAGGGTGGTGCTTTTTCACTCACACAAAATGTCCGACCGGCTTTCACGGAAGTCGGTGCTTCTTCTCACTCTGCCACAGACCGGACTTCCGCGAAAGTCGATGCGTTCCACACTCGTTGTGGAAGCGAACGAATTGAGGTTAGGAACCTCAAACACAATGAAAATCGCGTCCGGATGCAGCTCTTTGCCATGCGCGAGCACGAAATCGCATTTCCCGCAGGATCAATACGATCTTCTCAACTTTTTCCGGCCACTACGCGCGGAGAACACTCCCGGGGGTAATCCGGTTCGAAATTAGGACCAAAAATGTTTACAATACTCGGGAATTCGGGAGTGAAACTAGGGCTAATAAAAAGCACGTTTGTTTTTCTCGTTCACAACAACTCGACTCGTTTTATTCATTGTGCATTGGGCGATATCATATTTAGAGCAATGGGCGCTTCTGCGCAAATTATCGATTATTATTATCAACAAATGCTTTTCAGAGGATCAGAAATATCGAGATACTTGAGGATATCGTGCACAATGTCATCAAATGAGAACAGCCCCGATGAAGAAAGGGCTTCTGTTCTGAAAATTGGGGTATCGGGGGTTTTCGATGTCCCCGGGAGAGGTGGAAAATCCCGGGTATAGTCAATTCTGCAGAATCCAGGAGGAGTAGAAGTCTCCTTTTTTCCCACCACTCCTTGATTTGAGCAAGCTGATTTGTGGTTCTTGATTTGCAACTTTCTACGAACGAATGCGTTTTCGTTTCCGTGCAGAACCTTCCGGAAAACTGGAAGAAGTTCCCTCCTCAGCCAAGTCAGAGTCAGTCTCGTCATCTGACAAAAAAGAAAAGGGATTTTTGTCGTTGGTCGATGGCGTGGCCGTCTTAAGCATTTCTGCAAAAGACTGGGAACGTTCCTTAAGTGAGCGTTTTAATTTCTTCCCGCGTTGTTTGTACACCAAGCACGACGAGAGACCATGAGGAGGAGATCCTTTGCAGTATACGCATTTTAGTACAGTAGCTGCACGGTGACCACGAGCTGGGATTTAAAATCTATACTCGAGTGTGAAGAGCTGGGAGGCAGCAATCTCGTTAGCCTGCTCCAGGCGAGGCTTCAGGTTAGAAACGATAACACAAAGTTTATTGTGCCTTCGTGATTTCGGTCACGGTCGAGTATCGCTTCGTCAGATCATTAGTAATTTGCATTACATTCAAAGGCTTGTTTTTGGGCTGAAAGTAGACAACATATGGGCCAGTCGAGTTATCTGGATAGGCTCGCGATCCGGAGTTTTTCTGAGTCTGTACTTTGCCAGACTGAGACGACGATCCAGGGATGTCATTTTCTGTTTTCTGAGATGACGTACGTGTTCGACCCTTCTTGCCATCACGTGGCAAAGTGGTGTCGTCTTCCGACAACGAAAGAAACAAGAACAAAAACTTATCTGATAATCCTATACTACTACCACTGACAAACCGACATGAATGACCAAGCAAAAACAATAATTTTTTTGACCAAAGCACCAGATGTTGGCTCCGTGTTCGTTGGAAATATTTAGCTAAGCCATGAACCCGCATGCAAAAGTTATGGATTGGTTCGTGTCTGATCTATTCTGGATAAATTTTTATCTAGATAAAAAAATGCTATGGTTTTGACAGTTCGGATCACTGCACATTTAAATCGGCCATTTACGATTTTCGGGCATAAGACAGAATTAAGTGTAATGTCGGTTTATCGGTGCTACTACCACCGAGCGTTTAAACAGCAGCAGCGGACCATATTCTATGCAGTTGAGCAAATTGCCTCACTACCATCTGATCACTATTTTATTTTTACAGATAGCCTTAGCTCGTTGGAAGCTATTCGATGAAGCACTCCTCGTATTTCCTAACCGAAATCCGAGCTAAATTGAGTACTTTATCTAACTGCTCCTATACTATCACCTTAGTTTGGGTCCCATCTCATTGCTCAATTCCGGGTAATGAGAAAGCGGGCTCGCTAGCTAAGGTAGGCGCTATGGAAGGCGATATTTTTGATCGACAAATCGCCTTGGCGGAATTTTTCTCAATTACCCGTCAGCACGTCCTCACCAACTGGCAACAAAAATGGAATGAGAGTGATCTGAGAAGATGTTTACATTCTATTCTCCCACAGGTATCGAACAAGCCGTGGTTCAGGGATTGGACATGAGACGTGACTTTATACGTGTCATGTCAAGGCTCATGTCCAATCACTACTCGTTAGACTCGCATTTATTCCGAATCGGGCTCGCAGGCAGCAATTTGTGCGCTTGTGGTAGTGGCTATCACGATATCGACCACGTGCTTTGGTCATGCACCCTCCACAGACAAACAGACATAACACATTGAATATTTCTCACTGTAAAACATCGTCGCTAAAACATTACCGCCATCTGTTGAGTACACTGTGGTGGGTAGTACGCTGAACAGATGGCGGTAGTGTGCAAACGTCAAACGCAAGGGCATTGACTATGCGCGCCACAGGTGGCGGTACTACCAACTATGATACTTTTAAATTGACCGTTAAATGCTTGTTCGAAGAACAACTTGCGAGTGGTATGTCTGTTTGTCTGTGCACCCTCCATGGTGTTGCCAGATCCGAGTTATCCGCATCCCTCAGGGCCCGAGGAAAACAACCTATGTGGCCCCTTAGAGACATCTTGGCGAGCCGAGATCTCGACTATTGCAATTTAATTCTCGATGAACATTTCAAATGGTCCTATCTGCTTTGATTGATTCTCTTCATCGACTTTTTCTTTTCATAACCACTGCTATGCAAACAGATTTTGCGCTAATTCTACCACATAGTTTGATAAAGGAAGTTCTTATCTAGCGTCCAAAACGTCAAATACAACAGGAAAAGGTTGTGCAGCTGAGTTATTGACGAAAGAGAAAGTCGATGAAGAGAATCGATCAATGCAGATAGGACCTTTTGAAATGTTTATCGAGAATTTATGTGTTTTTAAAACGGATAGATCTGAGGATTTAGTAGTTAGTGTCATCTTGTGTTCCCCCAAGTTGTTAGCTGCCCATCGGTGTACCCCCATGTTTGTCTTTTTCATCAGTTGGTCGCTTAGTTCGAGATCAAGAGCACATTGCTCTCGAAACCTTGTGTTCCCAATCCCTACCCTGCCATCCATTTGTTACAATTTGTTACCCCTAACCTCGAGATAGCCGCGAGTAATCGGCCCCCGCTTTACTAACGCTAGTTTTAAGAAATTTTGTATCTAAACAATGAATATCGGCTCCGCAAAGCTACGGCAAATGAAGCTGGAAAATTAAACGCATTATAAAAAAAAACCGGCAGCAGCGGAGTAATGCGCGAACGATTTTCGATCCGCGTGTGGGTGGTCTTCGTTGTAGTGTGCTTATGTGAGGGTCGGCACTCAACTGAACACACGATGACAGATGAGCGGTGTAAATGCGGAGGCAGATGCTGACACTCGATGACGATGATGCGTATGAAGGTATGCGTGACCACGCACCGATGGTGCGCAAATTGGTAGGCGAATTGCCAATCGCAATTGAACAATTTCCCCTCAGATGATGCCGAAAACACACGCTATTTTGGAAATTTTTTCGCTATTCGCTTGATTTAAATTATCAGTTTTTTCTCACTTAGTGTTTCCTGACATGGTTCCCAGCTAAATAATTAACTAAAAGTGAGTTTTTTTTGGATAAGAAACCGGAAAAAACTCACTTTTAGTTAATTATTTAGCTGGGAACCATGTCAGGAAACACTAAGTGACAAAAAACTAATAATTTAAATCAAGCGAATAGCGAAAAAAATTCCAAAATAGCGGAGCGCAAATCAAGTCGACCGTACTTCTTGCTAGGACGCAGTGGAGTGAAACAAAAGTTTAATTCACGTTAATTTGAGAATATGCAATTTACTCAAAAGTAAATTATTGGGCTAAACTATATATCGTTTGGTCGATACTCTCGTTCCTTTTTTGACAACTAACGAGTGCAGGTGAGAGACTCAACTCAAAATTAAGTAAAAAGAAATCAAATTTTCGGTAGTATTTTTTCTCCGTGTACACTGACCAGATGGCGGTAGAGTGTAAACGTCATGCGCAAGGGAATTAGTTATGCACCACGACAGGTGGCGATACTACCAACTACGATACTTTTAAATTGACCGTTAAATGCTTGTTCGATGAACAACTTTCGAGTGTTATGTCTGTTTGTCTGTGATTAGGTACTAATTATCAATGATTATCATTAGATTTAAATCAAGTAGAAATTATTCGCCACACTTCTACTTGCAGCAATACGATGAACAACAAAAGCTATCTGACGTTGCGGATTTGATAGAAACCTTCTTCTTGTTCAACACGCGTATCACCAAGAAAATGTCCAAATGCTATGGTGAAACACAAGCAGATTGTACGAGATTAATAGAATATGGTGAGTTCCCTCATTCTTCTATATTTTTAATATCTTTTCTTAACAAACGCATACCTTTCAAACCTTGTAGCTATGAAAAGTATGATGCTACCGGAGACGGGCCCTATCAAGAAAAGTGTTGGATTTCTATCGATATTTATCAAAGAGTCACGCAACTGTCCCCTGATGATGAGTGCGGTCGTGGCCCAGGGGGAAAATCTTCTAAGCAACACTTTCCTCTGTCTTGGTAAGATTTACCTATATAGTGCCGAAACCCGTTTTTTGTGTGTTAAATGTTCCATTAATAAATTTAATCCTTAGGCGGCTATACACCACGTGCCCACGTGGATGTGTTTGCAGACATCTTCCTCGCTCTCAACTATAAGTATCCGAGCGACTTCCCCCGGTGGATCAAAGTTCTAGAGAAACCAAACTTTCCAACGTTGTTCGTTAGTCAGTACGACAAGGAGCTGTTCATCAAAAAAGTACTCAAGTAAGTTTGGTTGATCACGAACCGAGAATGGACATTCTCAAATTCACTCCAACGTTTCGTCTTTCAGGGAAAAAGTGAACCGAAGACTGGTGCAAGAGCACGTCCGCAAATTTGCTGCCGTTTGCCGGAACGCAGTCGAGTGGGAGATTGATTTTAGAACGAGCTAATAAGTTAGATTACCAACAGGATGGACAGCCTAAAACGGGCAAAAGAAGATTGTATTGACAAAACCGCAAACGCAGATGCTGGGTTCTCTCGATTGTGATTTTAGATTTTAGGTTCTAAACGTGGACATCGCGTGTCAAGAAAGCTTAAGCAATGTATTACGTATTGAGTGTCTGTGTAGTAGTTTGTGAAACGAATACGTTTCGTTTTGTAGCCCTCCCTCAACCCCAGAAGAAGCCAGTGATACGTAATGGAAATTCCTACTTCAATGTGAATGTACTGCGAATAATGATTTTATTTTATCAAAAGTAAAGCGCCTGTGCGTTTCATTTGTCCAACCGAAATCACGACCAGTGCGCAAAACAGTCAGGTTCATTGAGTCATTTTGATATGAATATGAACTGCCATCTGCCTCATCATTCACTGCCTCGTGAGAGTCTGAATGATTCAGAGGTAAACGAGTCACTGACAGCCGAGCACTCAGTCAGTAGCTCAGTCAACACGTTTATTCTGCCGTGATGGTACCCAATATTTGTTTTGAATGACTGAGCGTGCATTTTCTATGGAAAAATGACTCAATTACATGCTGTGTGAGTGAATGCAAGCGGTGTGCGTCGCCTGCTCGTGAGTGACTGAATGTTTTTGTTGGCTCTTTCATTGAATCGTCCTTTACCGTTTGGTACAAACGGTCTGCACAGAGCAATGGATTGAATAGTGCAGTGCATTCACAATCAGCCTAGGCAGTCAATAATTTTAAGCTCTGATCACGACAGCTTTTTGCATGAGACCAACGGTGTAAGATTTCCATCGTGCGCGATTTGTTGTCGAACCCAATGGCTTGCCTTTGCTGCGATGTCCTGCCGAATTCCAATGCAGTATTTGCTTGTGTCCACTCTTTTTGCTAAATTGAATTTCTTGAGATTTTTTTAAAATTATAGTCACTTTAATACTCTTGGGTCAATTCCTTGACTTTTCCAGGTTGTTCAGGGATTTCAACGTAAAATTTCCAGGTAGGTAGACATTTATTTTTTAATTGCTTAGAGTAAGGTGGGGCAAAAGTTCGTTTTGAGGTTTTCGACGTCTGTGCAAAATAAATGTTTTGGCACTTGTTTAGAAGGTCTTTAAGGGTACTTTTAGATCCAGACTTTCCCCCAAAAAAATTACAAAAATTGGTGATGTTTTCCTCGGTGTTTTCAAAGAATTATAGGCAAAAGTGTGTTTCGGAATGATAAATTATAACATTTGTACCTACTTTGGGGGCATACAACATGTAAAATTCAATAGTGAATGGGTAATTTTATTTGGCGGCCTTTTTGCTTTTTTCTTGTAGATGATTTTAGGAGTACCAGACTTTTGATATGTCAGAAGGAAGCTGAAGTTGCATTTATGGGGCAAACGTTCGAGTCGTGTCCCAAACCCATTTAATCATCAACAAATGTATAAAATGCATTTATTTACTCTAAATAATCATAAATGGAGCAGAATGTGACAAAAGCGTCGAAAAAATTGTGACCCTATTGCATTTATTGTGGAAAAACTATTGGCACAAACATTTCAAGAGTAAATTTTCATTACGTCGATAGTAACAAAGGCAAACAAAGTCGAGCTATCAGTGTCAATCGATGCTCCTCCTATTACACTTAACACTGCCCGAATATAGGATCACATCATGAGCGTAGCCAGGTTTCGAGCTAGGGAGGGGCGAAATTTGGCCGAATGCTATTTCGCCGAATGCCTTTGTGTTGGTGGGTTTAGGGGGGGGGGAATTGCCCCCTGCCCCCTCTACCTACGCCTATGGATCACATCCCATTTTCAAATTTATTTACCAGTCAAATTGCTTTTCGACGTAATCACCTTCCGATCAAAATATTTTTCGATGTTACTTCTTCTTCGCATTTCAAGCTTATTGCATATCGCATATTAGCTTATTGCGTGCTCTCAACCTAGTGTTCCAGATGCACTTCCACAGTTATTAATTGAGAGCTTTCGATGCCTGTACCATTTTTGCATTGGTATAATTGTATGGCAAGTCTAATCATACTTCTATGCCCAGGGAAGTCGAGAAATTTTCCAACCCGGAAAATTCCTAGACCGGGACCGGGAATTGAACCCAGCCATCTCCAGCATGGTCTTGCTTTGTAGCTGCGCCTTTACCGACTGAGCTAAGGGAGGCCCCGAATCGTGTATATATGCTAAGTGTTAAGGGGCTGCATCAAATCGAATGTCATCAATCATCAAACCACTTCGCGGTTTTTTTTCAGTTTCGACTTGAAATTTATTCTTTATTAAACCAAGTTTTCCATACATTAATGTGTTCTTATGACATAAGAATTACTACAATTAAGACAGGAACCATTCTTCCTGTCCAACGCAGAAGTATTGTTAATGATCTCTTATCCATTTAAGAAAGGGCGTTAATATTTTTCTCGTATGCATTTTAGTGATCGCGTAACACACACAAACCAACCTGTGTTCACACTCACAATAATTTCCATATATCTTTGAATCGTCCGTTTAACGGGAACTATCAGAACTGTTGCTATGACGTCGCCGTCTTACCGGACTGCGAGAGCGCCTGCGCCGTGGGCTACGTCTTATCGGAGACCGACGCTGAAAGCGCCTTGGCGACCCACGCCAACGAGGCGGAGGTCGATTATTCCGCATTACCGGCGATGGACGACGCATCGGAGGGCGACTTTTCGGTACCAGGATAGCAGTGGCTGTGACCTCTTGTCCGTCAATTTGACCGCCGGCCATGTGTTTGGTTGCATTTTCTGCACCCTCCGGTGTTGCATAGTCAATATAGCAAAAACCTCGTCCAAACGGTTGAAAACGATCCAAGGGGAAGTCTACGGTGCGGATCTCCCCGAACGTGCCAAAGATTTCCAGAACATGTTCCTTCGAAACGTTCCTGGTTAGACGACCAACGTGTATTCTTGTGGGTCGTGGCGTTACGGAACGTTCCTTCCTCCGCCGCTTGGATGACCCCGAACGGGATCTACGACTGCGTACATCTTTGACCGCGCCTCTCTCCGGGGAGGATGCCTTGGTTTGTTTGTTCTCCTTGTCATTGTCACGTTCCGAACTGCGACGATCCGTGCGTTCCTTCGACTTCGGTCTGGGTGCCTTAACTTCCTTAGGAGCTTCCTTCGCCGGACTAGCGCTACGTGAACGAGTCGCGGTCTTGCGCTTGGTACGCGATCGCTCTGCTCCACTGCTAGAGGATGATGAAGAACTTGATGACGACGAGCTGCTGCTCGAAGAGCTGGACCGAGAACCAGAACTACTGCGGGACGAGCTGCTGTCCGATGAACTTGAACGAATAGAAAAATGGGAAAACTTAGAAGCAGCTTCTGGTGCGCTGTTTACCAACACTACTGTTAATCAATGAAAATTTCATTTAATGGCTTCCTCACATTCGACAATATGGCGAAATCTTCACTCAAAAAATGATACCATTTTCGACAGTGAAAAAATCCAATTCTAACCACTAGAAACAGGAGCTTATCCACTATTTGCCGATAGGAATTACCTGCTATCGCTGCTGCTGGAGTTCCGCTTCTTGCGTTCTTTTTCCCTGCCGCGCTGTTTTTTCTCCGCCTTATCCGAGTCGACCGATTGCGAGCGGTTTTTTGATCGAGCCCTTGAAATAAACAAGCAATTATTTATCTATATCGGTAGATCTGGCATAAACTTACATTCTGTACCAATCGACGGTAGATCAGACGCCGAAATTAGCACTTTTTACGTGAATTAAACGAATTTACTTCTCTGTAATGGCAGACGGAAAAAAAATGCTGAAAATGCACGATGGCCGCGAGACAAATCGTTTTCAGTCGTCAAATGTCAAACTTTTTTCTTCCTGAGCGTCGTTTGGGGAAACGCAGCCAGAAATAAACACTGAAAGTAATCCTTATGTTGGATTCAAGTTTCCTTTGAAATATTTCAAGTTTTCGACTGAGCCCGATATAGTTTTGTTGATCACCCTGTGACAATTTTGTTTTGATTCCTGCTGTCAACATTTTTCGATAATATACTCTGAATGGGAGCATTGTCGGGGACGTATCATAAATCGAATATCACACGGCACAAACTAGATTTTTGCTGTTTTAAGCTAATTTTAGTGCAAGGGAACTATTAAGTTTATCCTAGTTGTGTTCTGCAGTTGAGCAGTACAGATCTATATTTCATGGCTAAAGTGCTCATCATTGAACCTTTCTATGGTGGCTCACACAAACAGTTGCTGGATACGTTTCTTCAACGTAAGTACCTCGATTTATCCACCAAGTTTTCGTAAATAACGAAGAAATTCGAGCTGCTTGCAGAGTTCCATCCAGCCGAGTACGATCTGTTTACTCTAACCGCTAAGAAATGGCACTGGCGGTCCCGAATCGGTGCGCTGTATTTCTCCGAGACAATTCCCACGGACCACCAGTACAAGACACTATTTACCAGCTCCGTACTGAATCTGGCAGAACTGATAGGCTTACGTCCGGATCTGGCTTCTTGCCGGAAGATCGTGTATTTCCATGAAAATCAACTAAACTATCCCGTGCGCGAAATCAAGGAACGTGATTGCCAGTACGGCTTGAACCAAATAATGACCTGTCTCAGCGCGGACCAAATTGTGTTCAACTCGCAATACAATAAGATATCCTTTTTGGATAATATAAAGAGCTTCCTAAACATTGCCCCCGATCTAAAGTTGAAAAACCTGAAGGAAAAGCTGGAACCGCGCTGTGAGGTTCTATACTTTCCGATACCGTTCCATTCGATCCCGAAGAGAATTTTCACCAAAAATGAGTAAGTAGTCCTTTTGACCGAACAATGTTCAATTGTGAATGGTGCATTTGTTTCCAGCAAACCATTGCATTTAATTTGGCCGCATCGTTGGGAACATGACAAGAATCCTCAATTCTTGACCAACACGCTAGTTGAGTTGAACAAACGACAGGTGGACTTCCGGGTGTCGATTCTTGGCGAGCGTACGCAATCTATTCCGGAGTGCTTTGAAAATATCGGGGAGCTCCTGAAGGAGAAACTTATCCATTTCGGATATCTGAGCAAAGACGAATATTACCGCACGTTGCTGGATGGAGACGTAGTAATTTCAACCGCAGGCCATGAATTCTACGGAGTTGCCATGTAAGTTCTCGTTGAATTTGTCAATTATCGAGCAAGCATTAACCCTTATTTCTTGCAGGTTGGAAGCTGCATACTGTGGCTGTCTGCCAGTGGCACCCAATAAGCTAGTCTATCCGGAGATTTATCCGGAAACCAGCCTGTACAACACATCCAATCAACTGATCAAAATGTTGTACAATTGGTGCAAAAATAGAAACCTGTTTGAGCGAGATCGAGCTATTTTCTACGAAAATTTTGACTTTGATAGATATTCTTCGGCAAATATTGTTCCCAAGTTCATATCGATGATCAGAGCGCATATCGGTACGCCCAGTGTCAACGGCGGGGGTGTTTAGGCAGAAAGTGTTCCGTAGCTCAATTTTATATATTGTTTGTACTAGAGGTTAAATTCTTCCAACTCTTTAAAGGTAGTAGACTGGCCAAATATGTGCGATCGATATCGCCAAAAGTAAACTAGAGTGCAATCTCGCGCCAATTTCCTATATCCACTGCAAATATAGGGTGTTCAGAGGCACAAAACTGTTTATTCTAATCATTAATACTATTGAAATGCAGGTTAAAATTGTTCTAAACAACTTATGTTGGGATATTGGTTGATTATTTTCTAGTTATAAACCATAAAGGAGCTTAAAATCTTAGAATCAACGGGAATTGGCTAGCAAAACAAATGTTTTCAGTTTTCGATTGATTGATGTTTTTTACAATGTTTTAGATATTCGATAAAAAGAGGTATTGTATATTACAATACAGCACTCAAGATTTTATTACAATAATATATAAATGAAACTTCGGGAATCAACATATTCGTAGATAATAAACTAATATCGTTAGAACAATCATTTCTCGATAATTATGTGCTTTATCCGAACAACTTCACGAATATAAGAGCAGTTAGTCCCCCTTATTCTGCGCCTCGAGTGAGATGAGGTGATAAAAGCCGCCGTGAATGAAGTGACTTTCCATGCAAATCACCTCACCTCATTCAGGATTGCACCTGCATCACAATTCACTCGGTCCGTGGCTGCTTGTCTCCAATTTCTTAACCGTCCCACAGATCCTGCTCCACTTGGTCCAACCACCTTGCTCGCTGAGCTCCTCTTCGTCTTGTACCGGCCGGATTCGAGGCAAACACCATTTTTGCGGGATTGTTGTCCGGCATTCTTAAAACGTGTCCCACCCATCGTACCCGTCCAGCTTTCGCAACTTTCTGGATACAGGGTTCACCATAGAGTTGCGCCAGCTCGTGGTTCATCCTTCGCCTCCATACACCGTTCTCACATACCCAGCTAAAGATGGTCCTAAGCAATCGTCGTTTGAAAACACCCAGTGCTTGCAGGTCCTCCTCGTGCATCGTCCACGTCTTGTGCCTGTAGAGAACTACCGGTCTTATCAGCGTCTTGTACATGGTACATATAGTACGGAGGTGAAGCTTACCCGACCTCAGGGTCTTGTGGAGTCCGTAGTAAGCACGACCTCCGGTAATAATACACCGACGAATTTCTCTGCTGCAGTTGTTATCCGACGTCATCAATGATCCGAGGTACACAAATTCATCCACCACCTCGAACTCATCCCCGTCGATTGTCACGCTTCTGCCTATGCGAGCCCTATCCCGCTCGGTTCCTCCAGCTAACAGATACTTTGTCTTCGACGTATTTACCTTTAATCCAACCTTCTCTGCTTCACGTTTCAGCGTGGTGTACTGCTCCGCCACGGTCCGAAACGTTCTTCCGACAATGTCCACGTTGTCAGCGAAGCAGATGAACTGGCTGGACTTATTGAAGATCGTGCCCCGCATGTTAAAGCCCGGACGATTCATAACACCTTCTAGCGCAATGTTGAATAGGAGGCAAGAAAGACTATCGCCTTGTCGAAGTCCTTTGCGAGTTTCAAACGAGTACGATAACGCACCCGATATCTTCACGCAGCACTGTACATCATCCATCGTAGCCCTGATCAGTCTGGTCAGCTTCCCGGGAAAACTGTTCTCGTCCATAATCTTCCATAGCTCTTCACGGTCAATAGTAACATAGGCGGCCTTGAAATCGATGAATAGGTGGTACGTAGGGACTTGATATTCACGATGCACTCTGACACTCTTTGTCGAACCAACCTTTCCGTCGATTCCGCTCCACGAACCCAACGGCGCCTTCAGCAGCGCTGTTAATGGCTGCTTTCACGTTGCTCCAGCAGTCCTAAAGAGGGGCTTCGGTGAGCTCTCCCTCATCCAACAACGCTGCGTCGAGGCATTACACGTACTCAGTTGCGACTTTGATCTCTCTAATAAAGAAAAAAAAAAAAAAAAAACTTCGGGCAGCTTCAGTCGCTCCAGATTGTACCGTGGTGGGCGTCGGTACCGAATGTTGGCAATGGAAAGTTTTTGGCGCACCTTGACCATTAGAAGGTTGTGGTCCGAATCGATATTTGCGCCGCGATCGGTCCTGACGTCGATAATGTCCGAGAAGTGCCTTCCGTCGATCAAAACGTGGTCGATTTGCGATTCTGTCTGCTGCGGCGATCTCCAGGTGTACCGATATGGGAGGCTATGCTGGAAGTAGGTACTACGTATGGCCATGTTCTTAGAGGCGGCGAAATCGATGAGTCTCATGCCGTTGGCGTTCGTTAGCTGGTAAGGTATGGGAGAGAATTTTAAAAATGCTTATAGTTTTCAAATGAAGTACTTTAAATTAATTTGAGTGTTACTGTGGAGGAAGGAAAGTCGAAATCTACCTACCAGTAACCATTTCGAATATATAATATAGGGGGAAGTGGGGCAATATGGCCAATGGGGCAATGTGGCCAACCTCTTAAACACCAACTTATTGAACATATTTTACAAAAAAAAAATCTGTTGCAGGCTTAATTCTTGAAGCCTACTTCAACTCTCTATTTTATTTTAGTCTAACAAAATAGGGGAATTTACGTATTCTCGGCAACCTAAGCAGCAACCTTCTTTCTATAGCCTTTTTCTCTAAGGAACGCACACATATGCAGTATTGGTTTGTTTACAATCTTTTGCTGCCAGCTGCTCTAACAATTTCAGTCGAAAGAATTGTCAAAAACTGTTTTGAAACGCTTTTACAAAGCTCCAATCTTCTCTAGTGAGAGCGAGTATTGTCGGCAACCAGTTTTTCTTCGGCAACCGTTCTATTTGGACTGCATGTAAATCTGCTGTTCTATTATCGGCAACTCGAAATCAGCTACAATTTGTAGTGCGTGTGTTTCATTACAAGAAAACCTTGCTAGATTGCTTTTTCTCAGTGGTAAAATATAGTCAAATTGAAGCTGAAAGCATAAAGAATCGTTTGCATGCATTCAGCGAAGTGTTTTCGTAAGAAAATCCAGTGAAAATAGTGTTTCAATTTGGGTTGCCGAAAATAGTCTGGCATGCCGAAGCCGTCATTTCCCCTACTTTTCTCGGGAGCAAATATTCGAAAAATGTTAGATTAGCTCAAAATGTCAAAACTGTTATAAGATTTCTGAATCAGAAAATAAGGTATGTCTGTAATTTCTTATAACTTATCCTTGATATTCCTTCAGCAGCTTTATAAATGGTCATTGGTTTCTTATATGACACGATGTTTTTCTAGTTTCGGATTTTCAACTGAATTTTGTATGATTAGTGATGATATTCTTAAGGTAAACAAACTTCCTCACTTTCCCCTACGTCTATTGAGTAGCTCTTCAGGCATGCCGCTCTAGCCCTCTTCAGAAGTTAAATCGTGACCGCGAGTGGGAGATCGATTTATGAAGTAGACCGCTGCAGAGCCGTTCCCTCCGCCCAGAAAGACTTCGGAAAGCTAGCATGAAACAACATGCAACGCGCGCTCGTTCTGCAATCGTCTGGTTGGCACGTTCCGCAAGCCCATTATGCTCTGACGTGTACTCTCTGGTGGTTATGTTCCGTATTCCCCTTCTTCTTCTTGTTCGCATTTCAAGCTTATTGCATATCGCATATTAGCTTATTGCGTGCTCTCAACTTAGTGTTCTAGATGCACTTCCACAGTTATTAATTGAGAGCTTACGATGCCTGTACCATTTTTGCATTGGTATAATTGTGTGGCAAGTCCAATCATACTTCTATGCCCAGGGAAGTCGAGAAATTTTCCAACCCGAAAAATTCCTAGACCGGACCGGGAATTGAATCCAGCCACCTCCAGCATGGTCTTGCTTTGTAGCTGTGCCTTTACCGACTGAGCTAAGGGAGGCCCGTATCCCACCTGATTCAAATAACGTTGGAATCCGTTATTGGTATATTCCTTACCAGTGTCCGTTCGCAAGATTTTTATCTTCTGTATACGCGTAATAACGGCTTCCTTACGGTGATGGGACTTCCTTTGCCCGATACGTGCGAGTGGATTACTTATACAGTAATTCTTCTGCTCTCGACCCGCTCTTACTAAACGCAATAGGGGTTTGGTTCTCAATTGGACATATGGTACAATCGTTGTGGTTTTCACCGAAGCTTTGGATACCACTTGCCACACCGTTGGCATGTTTTTTGTGACCTTCTGAAAGCAAAATTGACAAATTTTATATGTCATATACATACTTTACCACCTCTTCTTGCATCTTACATATACAAATTACCTTTGTAGTATCCCATTGTTTCATAATACCGAAAAATAGCATTTTAGCTGTAATGAGCAATTGCAAGCCTGATCTGAATTTTGTTTCAAACAAAGAACAATTATTTATCGGCTCCGTAAAGCTGTGATTGAGCCTTCAAAGTAAACGAACTAGATAAAAAATGGATACACATGTTGTGTGTCAGAGTAAGTTGTGATGATTCGGGACAGTTATGCTCAAATTTTTTTTCCTTATCTCACTCACCTAACAGGAACCGCAAGATGCTGAGAATGTGGAAAACAAAAGTCCACCCAAGGAGAAATCGTCAATTTGGTTGGCTTTGCGCTTGGGTTGCTAACTGAGTCGTACATGTGCAATATGCCATTTAACCCTGGGGGGGGGACGTGCTGTCAAATCAGCCTACTGATCATCTTGTATGAAACTGGTTCCAAACGTAAACAAACGCTGTAGGTTTCTTATGGCTTGTTTACGTTTGGAACCAGTTATGCGAGGTAGGCGAAGATTGTTCGTATTTGACAGCCACCTCCCCCCCTTGATTTAACCAGAGAAGTTCACAGCTACATACAATAGCCTGGCCTGGCCAAAAAAAAAAACAAATGGTGCGTGAGAAAGCCACTCTTTGAGCTCATTTGGCTGTGAAGCCTGCGCTTTTGGTATGAAAAGAGTGAAGCCGTATCATTTTCTTATCCATTTTGACCAAATATACCCCATATAAAGTTTATATGGGGTATATTTGGTCAAAATCTATGATAAAATGACACGCCTTCACTATTTCGATCATAGAATTGGTTCATTATGCTGGATTTATGATTTAGCTCAGAATTGACAGGCTTGTAGCATAAAAAATTAGAAACAACTTAGCTCAAGACTGCATCACGATTCAGTTAGTTTTATTGCAATATTTGTATTTGAATGTATGGGAGAATTGTGTTCGAACACTGAGCTAAATAGAGTTTAATGAACCAATCATATGAGCGAAAGAGTGAAGGGGTGTTATTTTTTCATAAATTTTGACCAAAACCCCAAAATAAAGTATGAATTAAGACCGCCAGCTCGTGTTACAACCAAATGAACTGAAACTTTCAGAATTCAGGTTTTCTCATTTATTGGCACAATTTCGGGGAGTGGGGCATAAAAAAAAGAGAAAACAGCCTTCCATATAAATCAGAGCCAGTCTAATATACAAGAACATCGTACATGTGGCCGACTTCTTAT